CACTTAAGATCTAGCCCCGCGTCAAGGACACCAACTTTCGCTAGATACTAATATGCCACACTAGTATTCACAAATAAATGGTTTAGGGTGAGCCTGCCTGAAACTATACAATAAAGCAAATTAATTTATAGAATTAACAGTAACAGCCACGCTGTCAAGTTTAAATAGCACTTAATAGTAGTAGGTTCAATAAGGAAATGGACTAGCAACAAATGCTTACAGGGAATGCACCCCTGGTCCTTAAATGTAGGGAGCAAATTTTTACATCAGATTTCCTACGCCTAAACCCCTACGTCGATGCTACTATAGTCGAAAATATCACATAAATTTTGGTTCCGATTGGAGACGGTGAAGATATCGAGCCCTAACCGCCAAAATAACGTAAGCGACATTTTTTTCAAAATTTTCTTTTTGATGCAGAAATATTCCTAGAACATCTAGATACATTTCTGCATCAAAAACAAAATTTTGAAAAAAATGTCGCTTACGTTATTTTGGCGGTTAGGGCTCGATATGACGCACAGGGGGCAAAGTTCGGACTCCTCTATGGAGACTCAAAAAATTACAACTAATTTTGATGCTGTCATTTCCGAAGATATCACATATAAATTTTGGTCCCGATTGAAATCGGTTAAGGGGTGTCGCACAGGGGTCAAAGTTCGGACTACCTTATGACGACGTCTTAACCGAATTTAATCGGGACTAAAATTTATGTCATATCCTCGACTTTATTGGTATCGATTTTGGGTATCAAATGAAAATTTCGAGTCCTTAGAAACACCTGGCCTTTGACCCCTGTGCGACACGCCCTAATCGATTCCAATCGGGGCCAAAATTTATATGTGATATTTTCGATTTTGGGTATTAGATGAAAAAAAATAATAATTTTAATTTTTTGAGTCTCCATAGAGGAATCTGAACTCTACTCCTACGCGACACGCCGAAATAGCAGCCATAACTTCGCTTGGACTTTGTTGCTTTTTCCATTTTTCCTAAAAAAACGCAAGCTGCGTTTGTTTACCACTTTTTAATGCAACAAAAATACGCATGCATCAAAACCACGCATAAAAAAAGTGAAAATTAAAACAAGACATTAATTGAAAAGGGTAATTTATAAATAGCATTACGGAGAGCAACGCAACAGTTGTGCTTTAATGTAAAAGAGAGCATGTGAGTATGAAAAAACAACCAATGAGCAATACCGATTTCATTGCCGGTAAAAACCAACGTAGGGTTGGGTTGGTGCGATTTTCTTTGTTGTTTGCTTTCTTTTTTAGTAGCAATGGGATTTTACGGGCACTCAATGAGTTTGCATGCAGAACTTGCCATAAATCACACTATGCTACCACAGTAGGAAGCCTTAAATGTTTCTTCAACAACTACCGATTTCTATATAATTCTATAATTTTTTAAAAGAACGCCTGTACCTCAGAGGTGGTCCCATAATAATTTGGTTTAGATCCGACCATTGGATATACATATGAGAATTGAAGACGGTTTTGTTTTTTTGCTTAAAAATTACTTGTTTTAGTGTTTTTTACTTATGAGGCTGTACGATGTTTGAAAGTATGTACAAACAATGGATGTTGCGAATATGTGATTTTAGGCATCCGCGGATGTTAATGCGGATGTTGGTTTTTTTTTAAGGAATCATTTAGGTAATTTGGTTTTTCGTTATGCCCTAACAAATCATATTGAACAATTTTTATTGAGCTTGAGGCTGTTTTTTTATAAAAAAATTTCTGTGGAAAAAAAAACAAAAGTTTACAAATGATAGAAGTTATTTCGGAGATCAGACTTCTTTCAGTGGGATTCGATCCAACGACGCCAGACAAAAATTATTGTTGCTTTTCCACAATAGTTTTTCATTAAAAAACGGTCTCAAGCTCAAAAAAAAAATATATAAAATGTAAATACGTCACAAAAAGAAAAAATACTTCAAATACAATGGGCGATTCCATTGTGACTAGTGGGACATTTTACTCCAGAATGCTATCAATTGTGAATTTTAACTATGTCGTCGGAACTTATGCAACAGCGAAAGATATTTTTTAAGAAAGAATGATTTAACAAAAATACCATACGATTTCTTAGTTTTATGTAACTATAATTTGAATGAATGTGACTAGTGAGACACTGAAAGGAACTCTATTTTACTCTTGTGCACTCAAAGATGAATTTTAGCCAAACCACTTAATTTTCACGACCGATGTATTTGTGTTGTAAAATATGAATTAAACGCTTTCGTTTTCAATAAAACTGGGGTTTATATAATCTTCCAAAAAATATTAAAAAATATTTAAAGTTGTGACTGGTGGGGCATCTCCTTGTGACTGGAGTAAAGTAATTATGCATGAAATAAAAGTTTCATAGACAAAAATTAGAACTTCTTTTGATTTTTTTTAATAATTTCCCACGGTTTAATGAAATGTAGTCCATAAAAAGAAGTTATTACTGAAATAGAGATAATTAGGGCATATTTAAATTTATGTCGTTTTCCTCCTTTCCAAGGGAATAATCCGAATACAAAATAAACTTATTTTGTATTTGTACATATCGTCACCTGCAATGAAAAAAGACGTAACAACATCGCAACTGAAATGGAAAAAGTCGCGACTAATATTTTTATATTTTTTTTTTTAATGATGTGGGGAGTTGTAATTTGGTGAAACCCATCATATAAATAAAAAAGTGAAATTTGAATTTTTTATTAGTTAGGATTTTTTGCATTTCAGCGATGATGTTGTTTCGTCTTTTTGCATTTCATGTTATGTTAAATACTTGTATTTGAAAAGAAACATTGATAAAAAACTATTACGGTGATGGAGATAATTTTTATTTTAACAAGTTGTATCATAGTGTAATATGAGTGCGAGTAAATGGACATGCTGTATGTACTCATTTAAAATGAATAACAGCCAGTGGCGGAGTGGAGCTAAATACTCCCCATACATACATACCATACAAAATGCCAGAGCGTTAAATAAATAGGCAAAGCAGAGTATTGTTGTTGTTATATTGGTATTAGCACATTCAGGCATTTTGTGTGTTTTTACGATTTCAAAAAAATCAGTTTCGTTGGCAATGCGACTCACGAAACAACAACGCCGCAAACGCAGAGAAAGCAAGTAAACATACTGATGTATATTAAATATACATATTTCTACATGCAGATGTATGTAAATGTGTTACATACAAACTTAAAAGCATAAACATACAAATGTACAAAGTAGCTATGTAATCATGAGGCCGAAAAAAGTGCATTGAAATATAACAAACGGCGCAGTCAAGAAGCTAATAATTGACGTGAAGGAAGTGAATTGGCGAAAAAATTGTGCGCATAGAATGAATTTGTGGTTTTAAAAACAAACCAAAAAAAAAAAAATCTAATCGTTATATTTAGATTTTTATTCGCGAGAAGGACAATTGTGAGGCTGTGTATTTAGAAAATTATAACGAAATGCACCAAACTAAAATTATAAATCATGTTTCTATTGAAAAATAAAAAATAAATCATTAACTTGCGAAATTTGTATAAACTAATTAAAAAATAAATAAATTACTGGAAGTGGAGAAATAATGTAAAAGCACATAAATAAGTGCATCATTCTCAGTTAAAATTAAAAAATAATAATAAAGTGTAGTGACCTCGCAATTTAAAAATCGTCATTGAATGATCAAAACTGCATTAATGGCGTTTATACAATTGTGATGTATTCATGTTTTTATGCAAAAAAACAAAGCATAGAAAAAGCCCATTTGACGTTTGGAGCCTGCGTTAAACTGTATGTAATTCCCTTAACCCATGTAGTTATGTATTTGTGTGGCATCAAGATGCACGTTACACATAAAAAAATCGCATACAAAAGTGTGTGAACGCCAGATATTATTCAAAACAAAAAAGAAAAACTTGGTTACATAAAAAAAAAACAACACACGATTTAAATCCCATGGAATTTCTTTTTTTTTTGTGTATATTACATACATAGGGATAATATATAATAAAACAATCTCCATTTAGTAAAAAAAAACACGCAAAAATTAGTGCATGGTTCCATTGTACAGATAACCAAAAGTTGGGCTGAGTCGATAACGGACAGTGAGCAACAAAATCACTACTAAATACATACATAATTAATACGAACAAAGAAAATAATTACATATATGCAAAGAAAAAGTTGCGCTAAGAAAAAAATAAATTATCAAAAAGAAACCTACGAACAAGAAAACAATACCCTGATTTCCAAAAACAAAAACCGTTAGTGCCTTATTTACAACTTCAAAGAGAGTGGAAAAGAAGCAGGTAAATAAAAGACGAAGAAAAACTGGTAGACTCGCCAATAATCTGCATTTAATAAAGTGCTTGTCATAACTATACGGCACCCACATAATGACAAATTTTTATATTTTTTTTTTATTTTATCTTAATTATTATTCAATCAAAACTTTTTCCCGAAAAATAATGTATATTCATGTGTTTGAATACAATGAAACACTTTGACCTCGATTCGGCATTAAAACGGATTGTTTGATTAAATACAAAAGGGTCCCAGCAAAAACAGATACAGATTCACCTTAAAAAAAAAAAACAGTTTCAAAAATTGTGCGATATTGAGAAAGTAAATCAACAAACTTTCGTAAAAATGTATGCCCGCAGTTTCGTAGCCTCTTCAATTTTAGTTCAAGGGCCGTATGAATAAAAAATAAGCAATTGCTTTTTCTTAAAATTTAAGATATTTTACTCGATTTATTCGAATGAATTTAAGTAAAAAGTCTGAAATTTTAAGAAAAGGCTACTTTGCTTTGTGCAAGTTTT